ATGAAAACAGAAATGGCAATCGAGAGACGAATCGTGAGACATGATATTGATTTTTATTTGACTCGAAAGACCGACTGTATTTTTGTTTCACTGTTTGTACAAGAGACTTGTCTCACGCACGCCAAGATCTTATCGTTTCTGTATCGTTTCCGTTTAGCCCCACGTTACTTTTGACAATACACGTCGTCTCTCGACCTTGTGTTCTTCCTTGTGGATTTATACGACGACTGTTGTTCCGTGTGTACACATCTAACTGTTGTGCTCCCTTTTCAGCCAGTTCGATCCTGGTGTGAACAAGGATTATTCGACATTGCTCGCGTGACTTCAGTGAGTCTGGTTCGTCAACCCCCCTGTTCGTATACTACAGTCACTTCAAGAGTTCTAAACTTCAAGACTTGAAGTGAATGTTTTGTTTTTGCGCTTCAAATGTTGTACGTAACTGGTGACCTTCGCAAGGTTACCCAAATGAAGATGACTTTTCCAGGTACTTCGGGTTGTTTTTTTCATTGCTTTCAGTTATTCTCCTCCTAGTGTTCTCTCTGTATTTTGGGGCTCATGGATTGGATTCAGCGCCTCTTCTGCTTGGCCATCTTACTGTGGATGACACAACGTTGATGAAAGCCTTCTTTGAATCGCACCTCTCAGAAGCTAAAGATGATCATGTAAAGTCGTATCACGTAGCGCTTGGATTATCTTCTTTGGGGCTCACTTCTAAAGAAGACAGTCTTTGCCCAACCTTAGGGGCAACGAAAACACTTGAAATGGTTTTCTACAGAGCTAGAATCGCAGTCCTAACTGGAAACACGAAATGTAGAGTAAGTTATGGTTTTTCACTTTTGTCAGATCTAGATAAAAGTCATTGTAGTTTTTCCTTGAAAGAAATTCACGTATGTCCACTTGAATCCACAGCTTCTTATGAGGTGCTGTCACAGAGTGCACCTTGTTAGCGGACGGAGGTGAATAGGCCGGCCAGATGTCCTGAAGTGACTATAAGTTGGAGGCTGATGACCAGTTGTCCTTGATGTGGTGCTCATGCATTCAAGTAGATTGCACTATGACTGTAACGAACTTAGCTTTGCGCTCAATGTTCATATCAGTTTTCTTACCAAATCCATACGCAGCAAATCCTGTTTGATCCTTAAGGCTCACGAATACATGAGCATCTGTGAATTTCAATAACGATCGTTGTTTGAAATACAACGAGAAAATAAATACTGCTTGTTTGGGCCAAATTTTACCATCCCATCTAAAACCTGTTAGGTACGAGGGCAAACAACGATGGGTTGTAAATGCCACGAAGAATGAAGCATATTTTGCCCTAGGCCTTGGGAAACTTGTACACAAACGCATTATACATTCTAGTAGTGCAAATTGAAATCCATTAACATTTTGGTAATCGTTCAATCCAGTTTCCCAGCCTGTGTTCAACAATGAAGCCCGTTGCCTGTGAGTTTTTACATCATGATACTTTCATCGGCTTCCGAAAGGGTGTAAACTGATAGTAATTCGCTCACGATCAAGTGGAAATCACTTTTTTTCTTTAGGCCCGTACTTTTTGGGGGTTGAGAATAGACGACGTAGAGTAACTCAGTATTTGCTCTATGATAACTTGTCCATCTGTCATTATACCAGACCACATCTGGAAAGGGGATTCAGAAGACATAAATAAATAAATATCAACATGCAATAAAACACCTTTAATTTTTCTGACCATTTAGGTGGATACAACCGAACTGCAAGCCCTGAAAACTTCGAAATTGACAGAGGCCGCTTCCGCTGAGGATATCTTTTATTTGGTATCAGCTATGAAAGACAGTGGACTCGAAGGTATTTATTCATTTGTTGATCGTGTACTTTCTTAGTTGACAAAACTAAAGTTACTGAAGTTATCAATAAGATCAAGGCAAAAGACTCAACTGCTTTAACGTAAGTTCCTAAAATATACTGCTAATGGTTTTCGATTATTCGTTTGTTGCAAAAAATAAACTACGCCCATTCAAATCGGATTTACCAACTTATTCTAATTGTTTATTTTTTCGTCCCTGCATCCCCCTCAATTATCCTTTAGTAATATACCTAAAAAAACTCGTTTACGTCAATGATTGAGTGAGGGTTTTACGACAAATCCAGCAGTTTTTTGTAGTCGTCCGAAGTATTCATCCAGTAACGCGACATACCGAAGAAACCCACTCACGACAGGGGAATCCTCCATGTCAGTTTACGGCTCACCGGGCTGAGACCAGCTAGAATAAGGTACCGCAAAGCGCTGAAGGACCCATGTGAAAGAACCGATCAAAGCATAACACCACCATATCAAGATTCGGTTGATGTTAAGGTGTTTCGAATAAATTGTCAAATCTAGTGAATATATAGGTATTATGGAATGCAAACCTGATTTGCAGCTTGGTAAGTGGCTTATAGACAAAAAAGTTTCGAAAGAATCACTGCGATGATTCGGTATCAGGTGTTTAGAAGCGTCTAACCCCAGCCACATCGACCTTAGTGCCGGTTTTCGATAATTTTATAATGAGTAGTATATGAATGACGAAATTTTTTAACACCTGATACTGAATCATCGTGGTGATTCCAGATTTGTTCGTCTCGAATCCAATCCTCGAGCTGCAAATTAGGTTTGCATTTCATAATTCACATCGGGAGTTCAAGTACAAGAATGGCCAGACAAGACTACCGGATACGCATACCTGACGAGCTGCAAGAACCACGAAATCAGTCGTACGCTTCTGGGGAGTTTTGCCAAGTCATTCATATACTGCTCATTACATACACACATTTAACACAAATCTGAGTTCAGATTGTATTCTAAACATCACAGTGCAACGATCTTTATAAAAAAGAAACATGTTTTATGATTTGCTTGTGGGTGTGATATTGATAGACTGCCCAGACCAAGGCAGGTTAATTTTCTTTGAGAATTGATAACCGGAGTGGCAAACCACTAAGTCAGGCGTGGTACCAGACCGGACGACAGTGAAGATGTCTACCACCAAAGTTGGGTGGCGGGGTCAGGGCTCGAACCACAGAGTCCAAAGCACGCCGGTGACAGGGACTAAACCTCTGCGT